CAGGGGTTTAGGGGTTTAGGGGTCCAGGGTATTGCGTCCGATCAAGGCACGTCATGGTGCAGGCCACGACCAGCCGCGCCTGGCAGACCCTTGCACCCGGGCCCGACCTTGGCGGGGGTTTGGGCTTCATGTGCTACACGGCGGTCAAGTCGGAGGAAGGCGGCGGCGGCGGCTTCGACATTAGCAAGGAGGACACATCTGCCCTCGTGAACTTCTTGGCCCGGAACCACGTGTTCGCTGCGCAGGGGGATCCGTTCCTTCCGGATCCCGGTGCATCCCTGTTCCCGGTTTCTTCGTCCACGCACGCAGCGGCCCCGTTGGGTTTTTTTGCCCTCAAGCAGCTCGACATGGACATGCTCGAGTTCAGCTGCGAGGGCGTCATCAACCAGTCACCGCCGGTTCTACATCCGATGGGGTACTTCTGGATGCTCAAGGGCAATGACCTGGCAGAGCGGATCCGCACCGGCAACTTGAAGGTACGCAGGTCCGGGATCGAGATGGTCATCGTGAGCATGAGCAACCCCAGGAAGCACTCAGACATTCTGACATTCTCCTTGAGGCTCAGCGCTCCAAGCTGGTGGAGCACAAACGGCGCTTGAAGGAACAGGTGGACGTCTCCAACAAGCAGCTCCGCCGCGACCAGGATGCCCTCGCTGCCGTTGATGCCCAGCTGAGGCGTCTCCCAGGCTCCTAGGCTCCCAGGCTCCAAGGTCCATGTGGCGCCGGCTTGGTGTCGTCATGTTTAGATGACTCATCAGCAGCATAGTAGGATTTTGATGCTTCCTTACTTTGCTGCCAACTTGATTTAAATGGACATGTAAAGCTCAAGCCGCTCGTCGACAAACTGTGGCAGGGCCCACGACTACAAAGGACCGCTGTCGACGTCAGTTTGTGTTTGTTTGCAGCATGTCCTGCACTGCAGCAGTCTTATTGCCTTGCGCTGCACCGCAAGCCTCCAAACGGTTCCGTGGAAGGCTACTCGGCTCCCAGGTTCCCAGGCTTCTGTACTCGCGCTCAATGGCAAAAGTGCCGGATTTGCCCACCGACCCAACCGTTCTGAGCTCAGCATTTTCGGAGCAGTATGACGTGTGTGATGATGATGATGTGTGGCACGCCATGTGAAGCAGGCCAGTGCTCAAGAAGCCCTGGCAAACATCGTGCCATGGGCCCTTCGCTGAGTTCTTGATACCGTGTCCCGTCCCGCGGCTAACAGTGCTGCATGCCGTGCCTGCCCGAGGTCCGCAGCCAGCTCCCTCTGAAGTTTCCGCAGGCCAAGCAGATGTTCAAGACACCGCCGCTTGCCATCAACGCAGAAGCCAAGATGGGGGATTTGACCGGATACAAGGCGGGCGCATGTCGATCAATGTCATTTATTGTTTGACCGTTGTCGTTTGTCAGGCTGTGTGGAGCAAAGATGACTGCCAAGCGTCCCTGACATCATCTGGACTTTACGAAGCCAGTGGCCTCGCGCTGTGGCTGGCCACCGAAACTTTTGCCAGTGCGTCTGAGGATGTGTGCTGGCAGGATCTCCAAACTTTCGAAGACGCTTTCTTCTCCAAGAAAGTTGCTTTCAGCACAGTTGTATCGCGTGAAGCTGCCAAGAAGAAACAAAAAACGTCACGAAACCGGCTGACGTGGCCTTGTGAGATGATTGTCCTCACGGAGTCAGCATCTGACGTGATTCACGAAGAGTTCAACAGATCGTTGCATCTTGCTAGCGGCGTGTTTGTGTTGTGGGCTTGGTACTTGGCCGTCTTCAAAGCCCTAGTCTCCCAGGACAGTTGCTGCTTGTGTTCACATGACATGACATGTTATTGATTCATCTGACTGATGTGTGCTTGCACTTGGCAGGACAAAGCAGTTTTGGAGATTTTGTGGGAGTGTGGCTGCACTGTCACGATACAGGTTCGCTTGTGTTCCAGCGCAGGGGAGATTGCGAAGAGTCGCAATCTTGCTTCAGAGAAAGTCAAGGCACTCGGGCACCCTGGCCTGTCCGACACCTTTTGGACATTTGCAAAGACTGTCCAGCTGCTCAAGGTCGAAAAAGGCCAGGATGGTGAGGAACAGAACTTGAGGTACAACAACACCTTGTACAACAAGGCCTTACACCAGGCTGCCACAGCAGCTGTTGCAGTGCTGCGGGGTCCATTCGGTCCCGTGGAGAAGGCTGCCCGGAGATTGGAGCTGGAATTTGGGCGGGGCATCTTGAGCAGTCAGTACTCGAAGTTGAGCAAGCTGTTATCGCTGACCAACAAGCTCGCATCTGCTACCAGAAACGCTGTAGACCTGACGGCCTGGATGATCGACTCCTTGACGCTGGCCCTGCGCATGAACATGGTCACGCCAGCTAAATGCACCGAGAAGTTTCTGGATCGAGACCGGAAGACAGGCGATGCTGGCTTTTGGTTGTCGCGCATGCTGGTGGTGCAGGCATTGTAACTATTCTGACTAGCGTGTGTATTTTTTTTTGTGGAGTGTTGCAAGTCATCGGCAGCTTGAACACTGACAGAGGTCTTCGATTATGCAGCAAAGCTGGCGAACAAGTGGCCTGAGCCGGACAAGGTTAAGCTGACAGGGATTTTGGCTGAACTCCGTTGCCCTTCCACATGTTGGGAGAAATATCTCTGCCATGCTGATGCTGATCAAGGGGCTGCTGGAGAGGACGACATGGACGGCGAGGACCCAGAGGACGTGGAGCGCCCTGTTCCGCAGTCCAAGATTGGAGCTGTTAAAGAGGGTTTCAACAAAGCCAGTGGCATGCTTTTGGATTTGCTGCTGGAGCTGATGTCGGGGAAGTACTACAAGGATTGCTGCATGCTGGCTTCGAGTGAAGATGGCCTTGCAAAGGCATTGACAGCTGCACAGCTTGGAAGCTCGGATGACACGGAGCACGAGGAGCCATGTGCGCTTATCACTCAGATGAAGATCATTGTCGACAAGTTCGACAACAGCACGAAGTCCGTTGGTGCCACATCTGCGGCTCCTGCTCCGAGTTTGCTCCAAAGCCTGGCCAAGGCTTCTGAAGCTGACACACCCGAGGAATGTGTCGAGCGTGAGCGGCAGTGGAAGGCGGTGCAAACGGAACGCCGCAAGTTAGTGTCGTTCTCGGTACCGAACAAGATCTCGAAGGACTGCCTAGTCAATGCGTTCAGAGGTTGCGGCAAGGTCTTCACGCACAAGGGCACCTTAAACTCTTCGCACCGCCTGATCGTTGCCAGTGCGGATCTCTTGGCAGAGGCTGGTACCGACCCGTGGCTCAAGGGCACTCCGCCAAGCGAGGAATGGAAAGAGATCTGTGCCTTTGCCAAAGACAGTTCTGGGCCCGAGGATTTCGTCGTACTCTTCGACGGCAGAATGCGGGAAATTCGCCGCGTGTCCGAGTCTTGGCGGGGTGATGTGACAAGGCTCCCAGGCTCCAAGGCTCAAAGGCTGCACCTGGTTCTTTAAGGAAGACCTCCTGCTGAACCAGCAGCACACCGAGGAGTGCACCATCGTGTACTCAGGTGGGTGCCCGCCGAGAACTGGTCGCACTCGCCGCGTTCCGCTGGCTGCAAAGAAGGTGGAGACAGGAGCGGTTAAGTTCCCGGTCGCACGCACCAAGATTCAGACGACGAAGAAAGGCTCCTCCACAGTCTGCGGCGAGGCTTCTACGTACCAAGGCACTTACTCAGGCGTGGAGTACCGTGCGGTTTCTGAAATGCCCCTCGTGTCTGCAGACACCAAGAAGAAGAGCATTGCTCCGGCAACAACCGGCGACCTCCCGACACCGCCAGAGGACTGGCAGGATCGCCACGGCTCCGACGTACCCTTGTTCTGGAACGAGTCGAAGCAGATAGCATATTGGAATGCCATCATTGAGGAGTTTTGCGCGGAGGCAGTGTTTGACCTCACGGCTGGCACCGGTGCTCTGATGGAGGCTTCTTTGACTGCCGGCATCGCATACCACGGGCTTTGCAGCACCCTTACTTGTCCAGTAGATTCGTCAGATCATTGTCATTTGATTTTATTTAAATTATCCGAGGCCTCAACAAGGAGCACATGTCGTGGGTCCAGGCGGTTGCTGATCGCGCAGCTTGCGGAATGATGGCTTTGGAGGGATCCACTCTTTACTCGGACGAGAATGCCAAGGCGGTGAAGAAGCATTTCCCGCACGTTCTGGAGAGCTTGTCCAACCAAGACGACCAGGACGAGGCACCTGCTGAGCCAGATAGCCCCCGCGATCAACCGCAGTGATGATGTTTCACTTCGACCGAATCCGCCAGCTCAGGCACCAGCTCAGGCACCTAGGCTCCCAGGTTCTCAGGCTCTTGACCTTTTGCCGGGCTCAGTTTTGTCAGTAGTGTGTAGCAGTGACTACTGTCGCCTGAAAAAGCCGAAATGCTCTTATTGTGGCATGACATTGAAATAGGACTCGCCGAGGATGTTGTTGTAGTCGCCTGAATGCATTAAAGCGAGCCGTTATGGCCCCAGGTTCCCAGGCCCTGAGGTTCCCTGCTTGGGTTCGACATGGGCTGCCGATGGAGGCCTACCAGACGCCTCTGGGGCAAAACCAGTCTCAAGACGGCTTCTCGTCGGATGCCCCGGGGGTGCCAGCATGGTGGCAGCAAATCGCAGAGCTTGCGGAAGCAGGCTGTGACAGACGGCTTGGTCCCCAAGGCTCGAAGGGCCTTCGTCATCTGGTTCCAGGAAAACTCCGAAGTCAAGAAAGGCGCTCCCAAGCACGAGTTTCTCAATGAGATGAAGCATCTTGGCGCAGTCTGGCAGGGCATGACCGACAAGCAGAAGGCACCATTCATGGCGAGGAGCAAAGATGAGTTCATGGCTCAGCGAAGTGCACTGGCCGTTCTTGGCATCAGGATGCGGGGCTCCACGACCAGTGCGGGCGGCCCCGACGAGGCGAAGGACCCCCCTGCCGCTGACGAATCTGGCGGTCGCGTTGGCCCATTTGAGCTTAATGGTGCAAGGGCTCCAATTGGAGGCGGAGCCTATGGCAGTGTCTACAGTTGCCAGCATCCGCAAAGCGGCCTTAACGTGGCGGTGAAGGTTTATCGTGGCTCCGATGGCCCCGCGGATTGCAGGCACGAAGTGGAGCAGATGAAGCTTCTAATGAAGGCCGTTCCGCAGCAGAAGATGATGTGGTTCCCGCTTCTTGTCAGCTCGGGTGTCACGGGCAGACCTTGGCCATGGATGGCTACTAGCCTATGTGGGCCCAGCCTGGCAACCGCACTTCGAAATCCTGCGGCGCATGGCAAGCCGAGGACGTGGGCTGTGGCAGCTCAGCTGAGAAGTGCACTGCAGACCTTGCATGACGCAGGCATCCTACACTTGGATGTGAAACCTGGCAATGTTCTTTGGTGCCCTTGCACAGATCAGGTGCGGGTGTGCGACTTCGGCATGAGTGAGAACATGGCACGGCTCCAGAAGGCTTCTCAGGCTCCCAGGTTCCTGCAGTATGTCACGGCTGCCTATCGACCTCCGGAGCTGTGGCCCGCTCGTGTGAATGGCGATGGAGACTGCGGTGTCAGAAAGCAGCTGCTGACTGCAGCTGTGGATATGTGGGCCTATGCTTGCGTGGTGTTTGAGGTGGAGACCGGGAATCCCTTCATGCCCAAGTGGGAGGCCGGACTGAGAGCGTGGTGCAAGCAGTGGCCCGAGCTGTGGAAAACACGCAGCGACTTAGCCAATTGCCCCGCTGCAAGTCACACGTGCTGCACAACGGTGCTTCGAGCCGGTAAATGGGGGCTGTTTGTGTTGGTCGGCTGTGCTCCAGACCCCGGAAAGCGGCGGTGGCCGGAGCTCTGTCTGAATCAGAAATGA